GTGCTCAAGAGCCATTGTCCAGAAGGGGCAGCCAGGCTCTGACAAGTGGTGTTGGAAAGGAAAGGAAAGGAAAGGAAAGGGAAGGAAAGGAAAGGAAAGGAAAGGAAAGGAAAGGAAAGGAAAGGAAAGGAAAGGAAAGGAAAGGAAAGGAAAGGAAAGGAAAGGAAAGGAAAAAGGAAAGGAAAAAGGAAAGGAAAAAGGAAAGGAAAAAGGAAAGGAAAAAGGAAAGGAAAAAGGAAAGGAAAAAAGGGGGTTTTGGACAGGGTAAACATATGACTTACTGTTATTGTTTTTGTGAACTAGCAAAAAAAAAAAAAGAAAAAAGAAAAAGAAAAAGAAAAAAAAAAACCATGCAGCAAAGTGCATCTAAAACCCAGCTTAAGAAACCTCTGGGTTCCTAATGCAGGTTCACAAATATAGAAACCATAATGAAATGGATGCTTTTTAATGATTTCCTATAATGGTGTTTATATATGGAAGCTTTTTACCCTATTGAAGCAATTTAATTGGAAAATGGCAAAGGAATAAGAGGCAGGCAGCCAGTTTCAATCAACAAACAGGCTGACTATACTCTGCGCTGCAGTTTGATGAGCTCTGCCAAGTTGTCCCGTAAGTGCCTGCCTTCTTCGAGGACCCAAAAGAGAACCCTCTCATACCTGACTCCTCCTTAACCTCACCACTCCCATTCAATCCTCAAGTATCCACTCAGCCGCGGCTTCTGGGAAGTTTCCTTGCAGGGCCCCCACCTTGGAGGTCCTGACCCCACTGTGGGTCTCTTCTCTCGAACCATCCACATCCTCCAAAGACTTGTGACAAAGGATTGTATTCATTGCTACTCCGATATTTGATGTGTCCTTGGGCATCATTAGATTGGCATACAAGGTCGTCAAAATGCCTGCGCTGTTGTGTGAGACCTGCGTTCTTGTGTGAGACAACGACTGGCAATATGCAAGGGAATAAAAGCGAACAGCCTTTCCCCAGACAGTGCCAGGTGCTAGCAAGGGGGCGATGGCATGAGGAGTGATGTTGCAGACTCGAGAGGGGAACCGGAAATAGAGGAAGCTACATGTGTGTTGTAGCCAGGAGTGCTCCAGGAGAATAGACTGCTCACACACACCCCACACACCCGGGAGGGCAGGATCTGGTCAGGCTGGAGGAACTGGAAGAGACGGGGATTGTGAGCAGGGATGGGAGACAAACTGAGAGTAGAGAAGGAGTGTGATGGTAGGAGTTCTAGGTACCAGGGGACCCCCATGGTGAGGAGTCTGGATGTCAGCCCAGGTTTAAGAGATCTGAATGGGAGAGTGCAGCCATCTGATGGCAGAACCTGCCTTTCAGCCCCAGGACCTAAGAGAGCACACAGTGAGTTTGTAAGATGACTAAAGATTCTTCTGGGTAAGCAGAGAAGGCATGCTGACATTGGCGGAGGCCATGCCCCTTCAGAGCTGGGTACTGCCAGGAACGACTCTGTCGGTACGATTAACATACATTTCCAAGTGAGGTACAGGATGGAAGAAAGAATTTGAGATGAATGATGAGGGGAAATGGAGATGCCTCACTGTGCAGACAGACAGCTGCGGGCTCCTGCCTTGGGGAATCAGTACGACAGATGCTATGTCATGTCAGGCGCTCTGAGACGTCCCCCAGGAGTGAAGCCCACTGAAGGAGGTTTGTGCCTGCATTTCCCAAACTTAATTATGTGACTTTGTCAGACGATGGGTCATCTATTAATTTCATAAAATACAATTTGAGAGAAACAAATGTAGAGGTGAATGTAGGACTGGTCCTCTGCAGTTACAGAGACACTGTCAGCTGTCTGAATTTGTTTGGCTGCCTATGGCAGGAGTTGGAGTGCAGAATAAGAGGCTGCTGAGTCTAGACAATTGCAATGCTGATATGAACTTAGTGATGTGAGACTTTTGCCGAAGGGCTGGCCGGTAGCAGATGGCTGTGTGTGTTACAACGTCAAGTCTGGACCTTGGGTTCAGATGTATTAGCAGGAGACAGCCAGAAGCAAAGACCTGAACCCAGACTTCAGACTTTATCTTCCAACTACTAAGCCTGAAGCAGTCTTGTCATTCTTGTGCACACTGTTGTGAATCTTGTCTCATTTAGAGCACACCTCTCAATGACTGATGCAGCTAAATCCATCTTATGTGGCCTTCTCATCATGTCAGACTGCTGACCACTAATTCCCCATCAGATCTTACTTCCACGATACACCTTACCAACATCTTTGACAGACAGGCCAATGGCTTCATCATTCATTCCAATAGGCTCTTTTAACATTCGCCCACAAGCCAGGCCCTAGACTAGGAGATGAAACACCATACCACTGCCTAACAGAGGTTAGTGGGGTAGTCAGGCGAATAACAATATGATCTAAGTTTTCAATATTCTATAAGAAGGGAAAAAAAAATGCATCAACAAAGTCAGCACAGGCACTCATACCCTCTGAGGTTTTCTGAGAAGGTTCATTTACCCTGAAACTAATGGAAAGGAGCACCCCTGCCTCAGCCTCCTGCTGAGTGCTGCTGGCAGCTGGGGCCCCAAAGGCTCAGGCCCCAGCTGACTTGACTTATGCAGACATCCACTTCTGCTGTGTTGGTCACAACTCGATATCTCCTTAAACGTTTTCCGCATCCCAGACACTCTGCTTGACTTCTTAATCTCAATATCCACTGTATTCTTAAGTATCTCTAACTCGGGTATCTCAAGATACCTCCAATTCATGCCCAACAAAAGGCAAATGATCTCCACCTGTCTCTATCATTTCCTCCTGCAAAATAGAAAAAAAAAAATCTAAGAATAAAGTCACTCGGTCCTTCCCATCATGTTCCAACATTGATGAATGGCTTCACCGCCCACGCACTGTGCACACCAGAATCTTATGAGACATCCACATTCACATCTCTGTTTTTATCCCACTTCTAGTTTGTGGTAGTCTGAAAGAAAATGGTCCCCAAAGGGAGTGGCACTATTAGGAGGTGTGTCCTTGTTGGAGGAGGTGTGGTCTTGTTGGAGGAAGTGTGTCACTGTGGAGGTGGGCTTTGAGGTCTCATATATGCTCAAGCCACACCCAGTCAGTTCACTTCCTGTTGCCTGCAAGTCAAAATGTAGGACACTTGGCTACTTTTCCAGTTCCATGGCTACCGGCACACCACCAGGTCCTTCCATGATGATAATGGACTGAACCTCTGAACTGTATACCACCGAATTACATGTTTTCGTTTGTAAGAATTGCCGTGGTCATAGTATCTCTTCACAGCAATAGAAACCCTCAGACACAGTTCTTGAGCAATTTTTTCCTATTATCTTACCTTTTCTATACCCGTCTTCTTTTTTACATCTCAACTGTCAGTATATAATTCCTAGCAACAATTTGGCTTGCCTAGACTTTCCTAATGGTTTCTTTTTGTTTGCTTGTTCGGTTTGGTTTGGTTTGGTCTGGTCTGGTTTTGGTTTTTTTGAGACAGGGTTTCTCTGTGTACCTTTGGAGCCCTTTCTGGAACTCGCTCTGTAGCCCAGGCTGGCCTCGAACTCACAGACATCCGCCTGCCTTTCTAATGATTTCTTGACTAGTTTCTCCAACACACTCTTGATCTATGGATTTGCTTTCCACACTATGGAGCGATTTACAATGCAATTGATCATCTCATGTATCCCCACACTGTTAAATCTTTCAGCAACTTCTTATTCTTTTGAGTAAAGATTTGAACATGTTCTATAAGACTCTGAATGACCTGGCTCCTCCCTACCTCTCCAGCCTTCATCTTCGCATCACAACAATTCTTCACCTTCTTGAATACATTCCCCATCCTCACTAAACACCCTCACTTCCTCTTTAACCTGCTTAATTGACCCAGATTCTCTGGATCTTAGTTCACATGCTACTTCCTAGAACAAGGACTTCCTAGAACTTTGACTAAATCAAGTTTCTTTGGTATTCTCACCATGATTCATGATGTTATAGCACTTATGTGGATGTATAATTAAACATATGTACAATAGTCAATTAAAAAAAAAGTCAATTGCTTTCCAACTCAATTTCTAGTTCCATGAAAACTCAATTTACTTCTCATCCTTCTCCTGGCTCTTCCTCCAACTCTTCACTACCCGTGAACATCTGTCTCCAAAGACATGGAATGTTACACTCTTCTGACTTCACACCCATTGAATCACAGAGCTCACTTGGCTCAGACAACTTCAAATACTCAACATCAGTCTGTCTCAAGAATCCAACAGGCATTCCAAAGCAAACCAATGATTTACAACATTTCAACTCTGACTTTCATGCTATTTGGCAAGAATAAACAAAGTTCATAAAACAACAATATCACCCTACTGCTTTCCTACTTCGATTTCTAAAAGGCTTTAGAATCTAATTCCAAAACCCAATAATAGGCCATGACCTGCAGTTTAAAATACTGTGCATCAGATACCTCCACTCAGCTATTTCTCTACTAGTTCAAACATAATATTAACTATTTCCCAATTTGTTTCTCAATCAAACTTCTCACCAAGAAATACAATCATCCTCTTAGTCATTTGGATCAATGTGCTGAAGACATTTTAGATTCCTCCTACTTACACCACAGTTGCTAAAACCCTCTTGGCTTCTTATACTGCAAAGCTCTGCCACCCATTCCATCCTTTCTACTCCCACTCTCCAGCTCTGAAGGAACTGTAACTAGGAACACCACAACAGTCTTTTAACACAGTTTCCTGCTCCTAGAATTTTCAAACAGGAGTGGATTATTATGAAGATGATTTCTTCTTAATTTGAATCATATTCCCATCAAAAAAGAATGCTAACTCAGCTCTCTAGTTCACTGTGGCCAATAGGGTAGTCAACAAAGGATTAAAACGAATGTGTTTTCATCTACTCACTAAACTCCTCGAATAATTAAATTTTAACTCAGGCTGACTTATGTTTCTAAGATTCTTTTTGCAACCCAGAAGCCAAAATCCTGCTTGGCAGGAGGCCTGGAAAGCCTCACCCATGTCAGCAGTGACCATAGTGGACTGGTTTTCAGGGATGGACACAGAGGTCTGGTCTTGGTCCATGCTTCTGGAGTCCTCGTTGACCTCTTGTTGACTCTGGCTGAGCTCTGACCGCAGTTCTGAGTATTCATCTTCCTCCCTGCAAAAAAAAGGAGTCAGCCACCATTGAGAGAGGATGTACAGTGAGTCCTTGGAAAATATACTTTGTAAGGAAGAAACAAGACATTCCAAAAGAAAACAGTTTTCTTCTCCAGGTGGCAGGCACTGGGATTCCTTTCAGGCCAGACAGATGGTCATATCTAAAATGATATAGTATGTGAAACTTCAATGTTTCTTGTACATCCACAGTTATGTGCACCCACAGTTATGTCCAACAACAAGACTTATGCATCAGCCTATGAGAAACATTTCACTTCAAGGATTTCCTGAAGAGGTTAGAACTCTTCATCCCCCTGAAATTATGAGGTAATAAGGAACAAAGTCTACTAACATTGAGACTACAGTGAATAAAACAATGAAGAATAGATAAACTGCAAATTACACACCCTCAAATGGAGGAGGGTCTCAATGGGGACTTCCTTTCTAGAACTTGACATAGGGAGGTGATAAGCTACTGAGAAGCTTCCTATGTCCAGCTCAAACTAGACCTCTGGGTGGACAGATTGGCATATCTAAGAAATACCTTGCTTATATTCCCCAAAAGAGAAGAGTGAGAAGTACCGGTGGCCATGTCAGAGGAACAGCAGGTGGCAATGGAAGTTCAAGCTGTCAGCCACCAGGAGGTGAATCCCAGATGGGTCAATCTCCAGTAGGCAAAGCCACAAGGCAACGAACAGACTCTAGAATGTCTTTTGCTTCTCCTGTGCTCTTACATGTTTGCTGCTGCCATCTTTCTCTAGTATCTGGCATGGTGTGAATGGGAGTGGGGAGATCCCCACTGCCTATAATGTAGTGTGTTTATCTCATGGAAACATCCCATTCTACTGGGCATTTTTATCTGTGGATTATTATGAAGATGATTTCTTCCTAAGTTGTATTGTCTGATTGATAATAATGTTAGTTTAAACCGAGTTTTGATGACAAAAAGTAAAACAAGGAAGTGTCACACAGCTAGAACACAATGTGCTTCTATTGAGGAGCTGTATAGACTGTAGTTTACATTAATGCTTAAGAAAAACAATTGAGTCCCAGTAGCCCAGCTAGTTTAAATTCCTTTAATCTTTTTTTTTTGTTTTTTTTTTGGGGGGGTTTTTTGTTTGTTTGTTTTGTTTTGTTTTGTTTTAAGACAGGGTCTCTCTGTATAACTTTGGCGCCTTTCCTGGAACTCACTCTGTAGCCGAGGCTGGCCTCAAACTCACAGAGATCGGCCTACCTCTGCTTCCTGAGTGCTGGAATTAAAGGCATGTGCCACCATCGCCCAGCAATTCTTTTAATCTTAATGTTGGGAGATGTGTTCAGAGGTTTTGGAGTGCATCATAGCTGAAACGAAGCTTTGAAAATAACTTAAAGTTACACCAAAATGTTTTTGATAAATAACTTTGAGGTGGAAAACCCAAGAAGATAATCTAAAGTTTCAGAAAGGCACATAGTTGAGTGACGACCTCTTTAAGGTCAAGGAACAAGAACAAAGTAGCCCAATTATCATTGCTGACATACTTTCCTTGCTAGGACTGGTTGATAACCAAAGGTGATGATTAATTCCTTGTATTCATTTTTGCCCTCAATCTCCTATATAAAAAACTATTAATGAGTGGGTATGCACCCTAAAGATTTAAAGTAGAGCTGACTGATTGTTTTTCATGTATAAAAGTTTAGGTTTGTGATTCCTTTAAGATTCCTGATAAGATTACCTTTCAAGATAAGTAATAGTGATTGGTTCTTTCTTTGTAACTGCAAAATGCAGCCTGCCAGTAAAAGAGTATCTTGCTTGCTTACACTGTTAATCTACAACAAGTTGCTTGGGTATGAATGTATGTGGGTTCTTGGGACAACTTGTTTTTCACCTGTAATACGTAAAACGTTTAATCATGTAAAAGATGTGGAAAACATGCTCCCCCCCACCCAACACTGGTATTCATTGTAATCATTCACTTGAACAATAGAATGTAACCACAATGTAACTTTTACATTACTTGAAAGATTTTGTTGGGGTATGTAATCTGTAAGGGAAAGAATAAAAAGCAGGAGAAGGAAAACATCAAGAGAGACAGAAGGGACATTTCTGGATAGAGATAAGAAAAGAGAATATAGAATACGGAAGAAAAATAAGAGAGAAATCAAGAGACTGTGTGTCTTTCCCCTTACTCCCTCAGATAAAAACGTCACAGTAGCCAACCCCATGAATTTCCCTTTGAGCCCTGCACTGTTGGAGGCTGACCTGGCCCACCACACCAGCCAGTGGTAGAGAAGGATGCACTGAAGGAGAAATTCCATCCAGTACCCCTTTCCCTTGATTTTCAACTTGCGTTTATGGATGGAAGACCACACTGAAACATGGCTGCTTCACTTCCGTGTGTTCACCCTATCTTGTCTAGCCCTTCATGGTTAGTCAACCTCTGAGTTATGCTATTAGCAAACAGGAAAGCTTCTAAATGGAAGGCGCATCTCCAAGCGCCTGCCTCCTCAGGCCCTCCATATACCATCACCACATACACCACACATGCCATACCCAGACGTAGAGCAAAGAACAGAACTCTCTTGGAAGCACCTATTTTGCAAGTCAACCCAAAGAAGACATCATCAGGGGATTTCACTGTGGGTATAGAAAGCTCACTAGTGTCTAGTGAGGGAGAAGTCATCACTGAAGAAAGCTTAGAAGAGAAGAAATTCTCCTGCCTAACACTCAGTTTAAGCTGTCAGCAATCAGTGAGGGAATGGAGGGCACAAAATCTACAGTCCTGGGTTTTGAGTAGACCAAGATTGCGAGAGGCTTGGGAAAGAGGCAACTGGGGAGATAAATCTACATATCAGATAAGTGTGAATATCTCTCTGAAGTTCTTTGGTGTCTTAAAAAAAAAGCAATTTTTTTCTTAAGGGATTTATCTGTTTCATAAATGACCTCTGCTGTGTAAGGGGTATATGAAAACAACTCAGGAAACTAGGAAGACTTTTCAACAGTCAGCTGCGAAACCCCTGGCTTTATAAAATATGGATTAGAATGGGAGTAAAAGTAAAAATAAATACATGTTAATAAGCTATGATTGTTAATTATTTAGACATCAACAAAACTCACCAATAATTAGGTTTAGGCAAGAAAACAATTAAGGGTTCCTTCTTATCAGTCACCTTTGCTCTAGAGGTTAATTGTTTGTGAGCTGATCATCAGCTCTTCTTTTAGTCAGCGTTTAAAATTGGCCTGGCAGAGTCTGAACACATAGTTCCTGCCAGATCTGCTTTATAGCAAATTACTTCCTGGGATTAGTAGGAATAACTTCATAAAGGAGTGGGTAAGGAGAGGGTGTGAGAAAGAAAACATGAGGATGGAAATATCCCCTCTGGGGTGAGTGGGAAGGAGAATGATATCATATTTGTAATGTCACCTGGGACTGGAGGGTTTTCATGTCATAAAATGCAAACTAAGGATTCCATTCAAGTCATTGGAACACCAAGATGAACCCAGAGCTCACCAGCAAATGCAGCAATCAGGTATGTTAGTGACCACATCCAGTTTTTCTTTTTCTTTTCTTTTCTTTTTTTTTTTTTTCCAAAATGGTGCTGGGATCCAAAGTCAATCATCAGGATTGCACAGCAAGTGCTTTTACCCACTAGGCTACCTTCCTGTCCCTATACAGTAACCTATAATCTTGTGGCAGATCATTTCTTTGAGGTAGAGATGTCTCCTCCTTTAAATCCATTGGTAACTCTAGGGATAAAAAATATGAGCAAATTCCCCAAAGTGACTGTGTTTACCCACAAAAATGAAAGTTTAGATAAACTGGTCATCTGTAGAGTAGATGGTTCCTAAAATGGAATTACCAAGTCTCAAGTGTTTGTCCTTGGGGTGTAAAGGATCATGTCACAGTGTTCTAAATGCCCACAGCTCTGTGCACTCATTAGCATCTGCAAAGTGCTTCAAAAGACTTTGTTTAGACTTGTTATCATTAACACTTACTTCCAGCTGTATCATTAAATAAAACAAAGTCTCCTAGGGCGGTAGGCTCTAGAGCATGCACACACAGCTATGGTGGTATTTTATTTGTACTGAAATGTGATTTTAATTGTATGTTAATAAATAAAGTTGCCTGGGGGTCAGAGCTATTAGAGCCATAGCAAAAGCTGGGCATTGGTGGTGCATGCCTTTAATCCCAGCACTTGGTAGGCAGAGCTAGGTAGATCTCTGTGTGTTCAAGGATACAGCCAGCATTGGAGACACACGCCTTTAATCTCAATACCAACCATAGAAGAACTGGAGGTCTATATAGACAGGCAGTGATGAAGCAGTCATGTGGTTAGTTTTACAACCAATGAGAAGGCAGAACAGAAAGTCTATATAAAGACAAGCAGACAGGAAGTAGGTCTGTTTCGGAGAGGTCTCTTGGTTGAAGAGACTAGCTGCAGCAGGCAGGTAAGGCTCTTAGCTCTGATCTCTTGGCTTTCGTCTTTGCATTGGCTCTGTGTTTCTTATTTAATAAGATAATTTGTTACATCTACACACAGCCACATGATGATCACCAGTGGCAGAAAAATCACTATGGAAGACACCTAAAGACCAGAAGAACCAGAATCGATATTTTAGAAATAGGATATCCAAAACTTGAGTATGTGGCATGACTTACACATTATGTAACTATGTTGCAGTGCAGCCTAATTCCCTAGTTTAGAACCAATGAAATAATCTTACACTGTGGCCTAAGGACTTGTTTTTTCTTGCTTTTAAAATGTCGTCTTGCTTCAGGGTAAAATTAGTTAGTCATAAAAGGGAAATGTTGACAAAAGTGTAGTTCTCCTGTGCTCTAGACTTGGAGCTGGAGTTTCTAGGCACTCAAGAATGTTGTGAGATATGACATCACAAACTAACTTCATGCACATCCATCACTGCCGTGAAGTTGAAACAAATTGGAAGGTGGCCTGGGTGGCTGCTCATTGGCTTTGGTGGCTGTCATTCAGTTGTAGTTATTAAACCCATCCCACTTGATCTGA